AACTAAAATAACAATTATTAAAAATATTTATATTTTAAAAAAAAATTAAAAGGCTTATTTTTTATATTTTTGATGAATTCAAAATTATAATTTAATCAAAAAAAGATATTACATAATTTTAATTACAAGTAGAATACATAATGAGAAAACTAATCAAATATTACAGTAGAAAAGAATATATAAAAAGAGAGGAATAAAGGTAGCAGTAGAATATTTATAATTTATATTAATTAATAAAAAGAAGAGGTAAGTAAATAACACTCAAAAAATATATTGATAAATTTAGTCAATTAAAGCAATTTAAACAGTAAAAATAATAAAAATATTTTCAGAGTAAGAAAATATATATTTATGTAATATTATAGAAAAATTTTGATAAAATATTAAGCCAATTGACAAGTTAATAAAAAATCACATTAGTAAATATTTAGTACTAAGCACTTGCTAATTTAATTAAAAAATAAAAAATAAATAATTTATTTAATTACCACATGATATGTATCATTTAATTATATAAATTTTGTTATATTTATGAACATTGTATTAAAAATAAATTAGCAACAAAAATTTATTAAAATAATATGATATATCATATCATAATTTCATAAGATTCTTTAAGTTTGTCCGCGCATGACGCGGGGTAAAACACTAGTAATAGATATGATTGCAATTTTTTCATATATAACCCAAAATTTTAGGTTTGAGCCTCCAAAATGGAGAACCTTTTAGTATAAGGAGCTTTGCTTTATCTATTAATTGACCTATTTACCACGAAGACTAGTCGGACTTGTGAATTTCAAATACATAAATGCCTAAAGAAGATTTGGTGTTCAAGAATGGCGTCTTCTAATACCTTTATACATTTATTACAACAAAAGGAAAAACAATGGGACAAGAAGATGTTGACGAAGACATAACCATGATGATGCATGAAATAAAAATAGAAATATACTTTAATGCAAATTTGTAGAAGTGTTGACCCATTTGTTTCCTTCTGTTATATTCAGTTATACCTTTCTTTTCGTTATATCAACCTTTTGGTTTTCCATTTTTCCCCTTCTATAAATTCCCAATTAACCTAATGAATTAATCAAAGGGCTCCGAAATAAGGGAAAAGGTGATTTCCGAAGATTTATCTCTAATTTATTTTTTTATATAATGAAGGCTACTTGGATCAAGCCTATTACAGTAAAAAAAAAATGTAGGCAACTTAAGATCATAATTACTCTACTAATATTTTATGCAAATAAAACAAGTAAATGGGATTATGGGAAAACAAAAGTAACTGGTCAACCAGAAGCGGATCCAGAATTTAAATCCTATGGGTTCAACTTTAAGGTTTTTGGCATTGAACTCATTATAATTTTAAAGTTATGGGTTCATATCTAATATTTTTGTAATTTTAATAAAATTTTACATATAAATTTTTACTCCTCATCAAAAGTTATGGATTCATTTAAACTCGTCGCAAAAACGGTGCATCCGCCTCTGTGGTCAACATGAAAGATCAAAAGAGCTGGCAATGTATATAGAACGACATTTTAATTTTTATTTTGGTTAATTTTTGTCGACCAACATGCGCCTAATGATATTCATTGTACTGATTGGCTTGCCTCCCTTTTCCTATCATCTTACATATTTTAAAATATGGTTATGGGGTTTATATTTTCTCTCGATAATCTACCAAGATTTTGCTGGATTTCTTGTCTTTTCCACCGAATTGTTCGAAAATTCCACACTTAATTACTGTTGAATAGGATATTATCAAAAATACAGAGATGCTAATTTGCTAACCATAACAGTGCGCTCCACGAGTTAAATAGTTAGTTTTAACTAGAACCTTAAGAGTTGCTTCTTTATATACATATAGATATATGTACGCACAACAATTTTTAATGCGATTTACATAGGATTTTATATGTGTTCTCCCTCAGGGATTCAGTATTTCGGATGAAGTTTACCCTTATATCATTTCAAAAATGTGGGATTAGTCTATATTAATAATGTGATTTGCTTAAGCTCTGAGATTTAATTTATCCCAATCACTAGTGATATATTTCACTTTATGCCTAATCCTACACGGTTTTAGATGTGGCGCTAGGGCTGTGGCTAGAGAACGTAGAATTAGCAAAAATTATATGTAACAACTTATTTATTTTCCCTTTAAAATACCTTCTCTTTTCTCATCTACGTGTTTTCTTTAACTAAGAATTAAAGAACTGTCTCTCTAAATTTAATTGCTTGAGAGTTCGAAAGTGTCGCCACTCCAAAAACTGTCCATGATTGAGCGCAAGCTAAAAACTAATATTAGCCGAAATTCGACATTTCATCATACAATTAAAATAATATAAGTTAGTTAATCATTCCTGGGCAGCATGCTTAATTAAATAACAGATGGTTGATCAAGATGCTTAATTAGTTTTTGTGGTTGAATAGTAAAGTTTTATGGTATGCGGTATAAAGTGAAAAACCTGTACCTACAAAAACAGATACCTCAACACGCTCCTTTAACGCGAGTATCCAAGTAACCTATAGCAGAAAGATAACTACGTCAACACTCTACACAACTTCTGAAAAAAATTAAAGAAAGAAAAAAGAAACGAAATATAAAACTAAAATGAAAACAAAAGATAGAGAGAGAAGAAGATGAAGTGCACTTTCCTACTTTTATGTGTTGCACGCATCCATGGCATAAATCACAAGGAAAACCAGAGTACTATTATAAGGCCAACAACAAGAACAGAAGAAAAGAAAATAGCTATTTAGCAACATTCTTATTATCATCAAAAAACATTTTACCACTCTCCACAATCTTGGCTTAGCTAATTTGTCTTATTCTCCAAGAAGAAGAAGAAGAAGAAGAAGAAGAAGAAGAAGAAGTACAAAAGAAGCATCAAAGAAGAAAGAAGTCATTTTGTGGACTGTATGATTGTACATGAATGAGTTTTTCTCTTGTGGGGTGTCCTTAGATGGACATCTTCAGTTCCAATCAAAAACAATTTCTTTGCACATTTTCTAGGTGATATCTTTTGATTTGAGGCCAAAACTTTTGTGGGTATACTTTAGATGAAGGGGATGCCCTTACCCTTTGATTTTGAGGGGAAGGGGGTGTTAGACTTGGACGTTGTGTTAAATAAAAATAGTATCTTCAATTCTTGGAACTACAATAGCAAAGAAAGTTGTTATCTTGTAAATAGTCCAAGTGCTGTACTGGATATTATAAGGAGTCCAAGGCCTGTTACTTCCTCTTCAACCCTGTCTTCGTCTTTTGGTGGTGGTGGTGGTGGTGGTGGCACTGCTTCCACAGATACGGCAGGCGCAGTTTCTGCAAACCCATCTTCTAAATGGCAGCAGCAGCAACAACAAGACAACACCACTGCCACCAGTTCCAATGTAGGAGGAGCTGCTGCTGAATCTGAGCTTCTACAAGTTGCTGCTGCTACAGAAGGGAAGAAATGTGGTATGGAGGAGTGGGAAGGTGGGTTATCAGAGTCTGTAATGGCTTCTCCTTGTCAAGAACAGTCTATACTTGGGTGGATAATGGGCGATGTAGATGACACCTCCATGTCTAACTTGAACAAGGTGTTGCAGGTTAGTGGCCCTATGGACTATGAATTCAATGCAGGATTTGGGGTTGTGGATCAAGGTTTTGGTGTTGATCAAATTGGTACTAGTAGTTTCATGCCTGCAATTAATAGCTCTTCTGTTTCAAGTTTTCCTCCTACTACTACCAGAATGAACAGTGACAAGATTGGCTTGCTTTCTAACATACCAACACATCTCCCTCAAAATCCAATCTTTCCTTCATTCTCTAACAATCTTGGCCCAGTTTCCTTCAGTCAGACACAGCAGCAGCAGCCATTTGAGAGCACAGATTTGAAGCCTCAGAGTTTCCACTCACAGTTCTTGATTGACCAGCACCAAACACAGATTCCTCAGAACCCATCATTTCTTTTGCCATTGCCATTTGCACAGCAGGAGCAAAATCTTGTCTTGCCACCAAAGGCGAAAAGGCACAACCCCGGGACCCTTGAACAGCCGGGCTCTCAGATCTCCCAAGGACTGTTTATAGATGCAGGAGAACAGCAACCAACACCATCCCATCAGCTCCAGCTGCTTCCCCATTTTAGGCCAGGAGGACCAATAGGAACAAAGCCAAAGATGGTGGGGGAAGAAATGGGGCAGTTTCATCAACTACAACTACAGCAGCAGCAGCAGCAACAGNGGCAGTTTCATCAACTACAACTACAGCAGCAACAACAACAAGCAATTATTGACCAGCTATTCAAAGCTGCAGAGCTGGTCCAGACAGGGAATCCAGTACTCGCGCAAGGGATATTGGCGCGGCTCAATCACCAGCTCTCTCCAATTGGTAAGCCTTTCTATAGGGCTGCTTTTTATTGCAAGGAGGCTTTACAATTGCTACTTCATACCAACACCAACAACTTGAACAACCCCTCTATACCATCTTCTTCACCTTTTAGTCTCATCTTCAAGATTGGTGCCTATAAGTCCTTCTCTGAGATCTCACCAGTTGCACAGTTTGCTAATTTCACTTGTAACCAAGCCCTGCTTGAGGTCTTGGATGGGTTTGAAAGAATTCATATTGTTGATTTTGATATCGGCTATGGCAGGCAATGGGCTTCTCTTATGCAAGAGCTTGCCTTGAGAAGTGGTGGCGCACCTACCCTGAAAATAACTGCATTGGCCTCACCCTCCACACATGACCAACTAGAGCTTGGACTCACTAGAGAAAGTTTGATCCATTTTGCTAACGAAATTAACATGGAATTCGAGTTTGAGATTTTAAGCATTGATTCTTTGAATTCAACGTCGTGGTCACTGCCTCCTCTAGTCTCAGAGAATGAGGCAATTGCTGTCAATCTTCCTGTTAGCTCGCTTTCGAGCTATCAGCTGTCGCTCCCATTGGTTCTTGGTTTCGTGAAGCAGTTGTCGCCTAGGATTGTTGTTTCTGTGGACAAAGGTTGTGATCGGACTGACCTACCATTTCCAAACCATGTAATTCAAGTCCTTCAGTCGTACTCAAACCTTCTTGAGTCGTTAGATGCCGTAAATGTGAATTTTGATGCACTCCAAAAGATTGAAAGGTTCTTGCTCCAACCAAGAATTGAGAGAACTGTAATGGGACGTTTTCGTTCCCCTGAAAAGGCGCAGCATTGGAGGGCACTGTTTTTGTCATCCGGACTCTCCCCATTACCTTTCAGCAATTTTGCAGAATCACAGGCAGAGTGTGTGGTGAAGAGAACTCCTGTTCGGGGTTTTCACGTGGAGAAGAGGCAGTCTTCGCTTGTTCTCTGCTGGCAACGAAAGGAGCTCATATCTGCTTCAGCTTGGAGGTGCTGAGGAAAAGAAATTAAATTTGCAGTTGCCAACCAACCATAAAAATGAAGGTGCTGCAAAGTCACTTTTTTTAAGTATCTGAACCTTTCAATTTTCACTTGCTAATTTTTCTTGTGGCATAGGCAGATTGTTTCGGTGTTATAAGAACAATCAAACATTATGTTAACTAGTATTTTACTATAGTTCCTTATCTCAGGGTCTGTTTAATTGTGGTATTACTGTCATGGAGCTCTATAATTTTCTGGAGGTAGGCATATATTCGCAGTTTCTAGTTATGCTGGGAACCTTGTTGTACTCTTGGCAACATTACAAAGCCAGAAATCAGAAAAGATGGAATTTTAAATCATTTCGTTGACGTGCTTGTGTATATTGCATTGATTATCTCACTAGCATGACATGCTTTAGTTGTGATTATTTACTTTTAAAATTTTAGTGAAACAGTTGTTTAATTATATGAAATAATCCTTATCGAATTGCACCACTCCTGATTTGGATACTTCTTTAGTTATTCATGGTGAATCTTCTGTTTAAGTTGCTAGTATATGTTAATTGTTCTATCTTTAGCCCTCTGCCAACCTTATATTTGCTCAAACTCTTGCTCTTCTTACAAATTTAAAGATATATCATCTGTATTAGTTGTCCACCTGACCACTTCCTTAACTTGTTCACTGGGATGTATGAGAAGTTACATGAAAAACATCCTCATGTTATACCTTTAGATATAAGTAATAGAGTATGCTAAATGCTTTGAAACCAGAAGTTGACTCAATGCGAATGATGTTCTTCAATTAGCTATCACTTTTGCATATACTTATAGAGCAGATAGAATGTTTCCATCTTCAGTCCATACATGATCATGTCTGACTATTCCAAAATTTTGTGAAATATGGATTCCTAATCATTCTGTTATCCTAGCTTATCCAATCCATCTTGTCCCGAGAATAATGGTGCAGATTTTGGGAACCCTCAATAGATCATGGTTGCGAGTTCATATATTTAACAGTTACTCGAATCTTTTCATAGTAGTAGTATTAACTTCTTGAGGTTTGTATATATTATGGAGAAGGATGATGAAACTGTATTATACATTATGTCATTGAGTGACTTAATCTATCCCAAAGGATTAGAGAGAATGGGTGAAATTTGTTGAGACACCCTTGAGTGAGGCCTATTAGGCTATTAAGGTAAATAAAGTTTCGCTGGGCGAGTTACTCCGTATTTGTGTGTATGAAGTGGTCTAAACACCACTATTATATTTTAAAAAAATACTCCTTTCGGTCCACTTTAATTGATTTCTTAGCCTTTTTTTGTGTTCCACAATATTTGATTTTTTCAGATATTAAGAAGGAATTAACTTTTTTTCTAAGGTTGTCTTGGAGGAAAGAGCCTAGGAGTATTTGTTTTAGTTCCAATAAATAAATAAAGATTAATAAGTCAATTTTATTGTTAATTAATGCTAAAAGGTGAATTCCTTAATATGTATGAAAACAGCCAAAAATAGTAGCAAGGCATGAATTGTGATGGTTTCGAGCGATGGTTGTGCTGATCCTTGAGATTCAATTAAAGTAGTAATGCAAGATCTTAGGATGTTAGAACATGCTCATTTATTAGGTTTGTTTTAAAACAAGGTCTTGTTTGATTGTTGTTCAAGGTTGTTGATGAAAATGAGAACAACCACTTTCATCATTTAAAAGAAATATTGTTAAGAGTCATTACTATAACAGAGACGGTGACGTTCTGACAATGATATTTTACCCTCCTGCTTACTCAATGATTTTCCCTGTAAAAGAGACATAAAATATTGCTTTTAAATCTTTTACTTTAGTCTAAAGCACTTGGGAACAACTGTTTAGACACACATTTCTTGGTCTGTGGGACTCCTTTTGTTTTGAGATCAGTTTATATTTTTGATCGATTCAATGTCAGATTGTACCCCCTCTAGGAAAGTTGGAGGGGGACTACATTAATCCCTTTTCTTTCTTTTTCTCTACCATCGTAATCAAATCGAAAATTGAATTAAATCGACAAAATTTTGAAATTTTCTTGGTTGATTTACTTTTGGTTATTTCAATATTAAAAATCAATGAATTTTGGGTTGGTTTGATTTTAGTTTTAATTTTAAGTAAACAAAAAAAAAATGAATCTCTCTCTATATATATATGAAGTCTAATTTCACGGTTTTAATTCTTGTGTTTCTCTAAGTAATAATGTTTACCTTTATTCATCCATACATATACGTTGAAAGTGTATATATACATAAGTTACAGTTCAATATTCGCAATACGTATGGTCAAACCTCAATTAACTACAAAGAATGATTTTAATATTTGCAAGTGAAGTAAATATTCTCATGTTGCAGTTTGTACGTTTAACTTTCTATATATATTTTTTTTCATAATTAACTTTCTATATTTGATCCATACATTTTAGGATGATTTTTTCCGAAGTAACACCACATTAAACACTGCTCTGCTCTATTTTGTATTTCTGACAACGTGATTTTTCTAACAAGTGGGATGTTATTGGTATTTTTTTTGTTAAAATGTGACTTTTCTTAGTTTGGATTATGCTACAATTTGTTCTGAATACGAAATGCATTGAACGTGGATTTGCTGTCTCTTGTCTAATATTGTCTCTAGCGTGTGCCACATTACCTGTTTTTTATTAGTTGATTTACTTTTTTCTACATTGTCTCTGTTTCTTCCTCTTTCTCCTTTTTTTATACAAATATTAAATAAATAAAACAAGTTGGAGGTTGCATGTATTATCTGGTGGCAAATTGGCAATAACTATTTAATTGTGTGAACCATCTAAAATTTAGCGGTTGAAAAAGTATTTTATTTATTTATTTTAGGATTTTAATAGGGAAAGAGCATAGACGGGTCTCAAATTTAGAATTAGTCATTTAGAATAAATATAATCTTATTATACGTCTATATATATATAAAAAAGGAAAAAGGGGTTTTGCAATCCTCATACTTTGATATAGGAAACACAAGTAATATCAACTTATTATCATAGTGCACAAGCCTATTTTGAGATCTTGAATAACTAAGGAGATGTGACGTTTCCTTATCTTTAAATTTTTTCCTAAATTTGAAAATGAGGGGAATTCTTAATTTCACCCATAAAAAGTAAAGTAATCAATAAATAAATTGGGTAATTGCTTTTCGCGAAGCCATAGAGCACATGGAAACCAAATTATGCAAATGACCGGCGGCGCATTTCGTTTGACACCTAAATAATAGGATAGTAATATTTAATCAGTATTGAAAAGTTATAATTTAATCAAGCATTATTGTTCTATAAAATTTCAATAATAGTTGACTTTAACTTTAATTATCCTTTGCAGCTGACGAGCCGACACAAAATATCAACTGTCAATTTGTTTGAATGTTTTAATCTATGATTTTTAATTATCTAAGACTGATACGGGATCCGAAGGGGGTATATTTGCAATAGGATTATAGTACTGCTCGGTTGTTAATTTAGAAATAAGATATTACAATTTGAATTGCGATGTAATGAGTGTGAGTACAGTAGTCTTTTGGTCTTTGTTGTTCAGTTGAATCTTTTTTTTCCTTCGCTTATTATGATTAAAAATAATTTAGGTAGAAAATTTCTTACATCTTGATTTTTCTGTTATTGAGATTTGGGCAACATGATTAAAAAGCTCAATTAGTCACGAGCTCTGTTACTTTAGTACCTTTCACGAGTTACATGAAAACAAAAAGGAGAAGTCAGTTGGAGATAAATTTAGACAAGCGTTACCAAATTATTTAGGATATATAGGGTACCATGTTTCTTCTCACTGTTAGGAGAGTAGTCAAATGAAAATGACAACAGATAAACCTTAATACAAAATTATACAGTACTTACTAAAGTAGGACCCAATGTGTTACAATGAGTTGTCTCAATCAAAGGGCTCATGCCACATATATGGTTTGATCTGATATTACAGACTATGTTACATGGACTCGACCTATGAAAACATATTCAGCACAAGCATATAAATTGTCAATATAAGTTTAGATCGATTATATAAATTTTCACTGTTCATCTCGCTCTATAATGCTTGTCTTAGTCTAATATTACTTTTGAAAATACTTAAACGAATAATTTTCTAACAATTAAGGATCTTTTTACTTTATACTAGTATATAAAATTCTGATAAATAGTACTGGTACTAGTACTATTATGCGGATTATAAGGGTTAAGGAGAAAATTCAAATAGTGAAACAGGAGGAAGGTGACCCACAATGCCTGGCCATATATATATATAGGAACATAAACAGTACATTAACATGTCCCTTCAACATCAATTTCACAACTCTTCAATGGTGAAATGTCTTTTTCAAATTTTACATAAAATTTGAACTCATCCCCTCCCTCTTCCTATCTTTGGTTCTTCTTTTGGACCAAGACCCTATATGGAATTGTTTTAGTGAGAAGAAAAAAAGCCTAAGATATGGGTAAATCTTTCTCTCACAAAATAAATAAATAAATAAATAGATAAATACTTACCCTGTTATAAGAAATATCAAATTATGGTGGATGTCTACTCTTCCATTATGATCTTCATCTCAAATGCTTAATGACATATTCAATGATATATTTTCTATGTTTAATGATATATTCAATGACATATTTTCTTCATTTTTCATGCTTATATAAAGGCATTATAATAGATAGGAAAATATAAACAATTGAAGAAGAAATAAAATCTCTTCCTTCTCTATATCTCCATTTCTTGTTCATGTTTTACTAAATTAGTTTTATTTCATAACACGTTATCAGCACGAAGTTCTAGCCAACTAAGTTGCTATGATGCGGTCAGTGCCGGTAGCGTCATTTAATGTTAATAACATGGTAAGAACGATGTCGGTATAAGGTGTACAACGCCAACATATATTCGGCCATCATGGTTAGCGTTTTCTAATTAGTTTTCAAGTTTCTTTACACTTTGCTATTTATGTTTCCATACATGAACAAACTTGCTTTACGGAAAAGTTTTTCTTGAAAGTTCATCAAATCATGTAAGGATTTTTGGTATAAAGAACGATAAATATTTTTCCTATAACAAGTATTATGTTCCTATGTGTTACTATTAAGAAACACGAAGTGAAGACTATTGAGAGAACATATATTTTTCCTTTCTATTTTATCACATATCACTTCCATCTTAAAGTGGGATAATTATCACAAATGACACGTAGATTTTAATTGATTATGTATTTTTTTATATTTGCTTGATACTTTTTATTTGATTGAGTTCAGTTAATGAAAGTTCGCATATGCAAATTAAATTCAATCGTCACCAATAGTGAAAACCCGTCCCATAAGTCTAAAATAAGA